TTTAAGAATGACCTATATGTGACTTCTTAGTGGTTTCTGAGCAGGTGAATAAAATCAGAGAACTATCTTTTTTTCCAAGCCTATACCAGGTTTCAGTAATTAGAAATACATGTTTAGGTTAAAGCACAAGTCTAAAACATATTGTTTAAAGACTAAGACTGGAAATCCAAGCACACTTCTAATGTTAATTAGAAAATGTTAAAGTTTATGTTGCAGGTGTAAATCAGATCCAGATCACTTCTGTATATGTCGTAGAGGTGGGATTAATCTTACTTTTACCATCTGAAAGTTAGACAATGAATCACAAATAGTTAGGTGGCTTCCGTAGCTGTATCAATAGGCAGAGGTAAAGCAATTCATAGTGTGGTTCATTCAAAATTAAGGCAGGTGTGAGAGAAGGGAGGCAAACCTCCCTCAAAGCATATCTCTCTCTCTGTGCTCTAGGGAGAGTGCAAGTGACTCTCTTGCAAGTCAAGCACTGACTTGCAAGTTGGGTCCCACCGTAGCAAATGACATGTTTTTTTTACTCAATGCTTACTAAATCTTACTCTTCAGTATCTTCCTTTTTATCCTTTCCCTGAAATGTGTAAGCCTCTGCACTATTTTAGTCTATGCTGTTGAATATAGCATAGAATACTGAATTTATTAATTTTCAGTATGACTTTCTAATGTGCTCAAGTATAATATTTGTTAGCTCTTTACAAACACTGATTAATATCTTCAAGGATGTGCCACAAAAAAAAAAAAAAGCAATATTATTACAACTTCTTTTTATAAAAGAGGAATGAAAGTGTCAAGATTAGAATTGTTGAGAACTTCCCTGAACTTCCGGTGTGCACCGACTGATTTTTTAGTTCTTGCAGCACTATACATTATTTTAGAAGTGTGAGACACAGCCTACTGGGACCTGGATTGCAACTGTGAGAGCCTAGTGACTTCTGCAAACCACCCTTTCCCAGGCCTTGTGTTTACCACTGTGAAAAACAAAAAACTTTCACTCCAGTTAATGCTGTTAGTTACAGCCTTTTTCTGGGACAATACCAGTCTGGAATAATGTCACCTGAATTTACTTGGCTGGCCCACACTCTGTAAGGCATCATTTGTCCAATTTAACTGTAGGAGCATTGCTTCTGTCACTGTAGATCCATTTTAATCCATATCCTGCAATGTTAGTGCTGCAACAAAAGCAGCTGAGCCTTAGCTGACAGCAGCCTCCTCCATTGCACAGTCATCACAAATTTCATCAGCACAGGCCATTCTTTGCCCCAAGTAAGGCAGGGAGTCCTGAGGGGCAACCACAGGAGTCTGTAATCAAATCACTAAAAGAGCTTATGATAATATTCCAAAGGAGGATGGAGTAAGATTTTGCAAGAAAACAGAATTTACTTTTTCATTCTTGATTTTGCAAATATAGGTTTCTTCCAAAATTTTAAAAATATTGTGGTACACTGTTTTGAACAAATCAGCAACTAGGAGAGGAGAGATGTCTCTGAGTGAAAGCTCTGCCTGGGTCGTCAGCAGTGCTAGGTGCTTTATTTGGCAGGTTTCCATCAGCTCAGCTCACACTCTAGGTGATGGCGATACTGTCATCTCCTGGGCACTAGAGGGAGATGGATACACGTACTTTGTTGGTGTATTCCATAGCTGGAGAAACAATGCTTCTGGTTTCAATTCCAGAAGATAAAATAAGTGATAAGTGGTGACAAGCCTTTCTCTCCTCATTGTTTCTCTCTCCCTCTTTTTTTTTTTTTTTTTTTTTTTTTTTTTTTTTTTTTTTTTTTGAGGGGGCAGTGGGAGGGGAGCAAGGATTTTCCCTTGCCTTCCTTTTGTCTTCAGTTCTATCTCTACTTCTTCATTCCTTTGGTTTCTAAAGGCTATTTTGTGCTGTGCCTTTCCACCTTCCAGGGAGAACTCCTGCTTTTGCTCCTACTGTCTGCTCATGATCCCTCACCTCTCTTGTTTTTGCCTGTTTGTTGTACCTGCATAGCTTACACCTTCATAGGCAGTTTATTTACAGTAGATACAGATTCTTACTCTGTCCTCAGCAAAACAGTGCTATCTCAGCCTCTTTGAACAGCATACCAAGAAAATGATTATTACAGCTCATGCTCCATCTGTGATCAGGTGTGTGACATGGGGAATGTTTGCTTATATTGAGCATTAGCTCAAGGTTGTTGAGTTTTTTAGTTGCATATGGACTAAAGATGTGTTTTGTTAATGACCTGTTGAAAGGCTGACTCTTGTATTCAGAGAACAGTGAGATGAGGTCCATGAGCATCAGATCTTGTGGGAGTTCCCTCTGAAAACTAGTATTTGCCTTCGTGGCATAAGGTCAAATCATCTTGAAAACCCAAGCTGTTGACTGTGATCTTCACTGTGGAGCACTAGGCGTTCTTTTCAGACAACTGGTTACATAGACACACACCAGGCTAAGAGCCATCAGCAAACACAGCACTGTCTTCTGGGTGAGCCAAGCCATGGGAACTTGCTGGCATTGTGCCCTCCAATTCAAGGAGAGTTGAATTGAAGCCATTGTATATCTTATAGATAGTCAAAGACCTTGCAGTAGATTTTGATAAGAAGTAAAGTTGTGAACAGAGACTGTCTGGTATGTTCTCAGCAGCCTGAATTTCAGGCTACTGAACCATGAACCCTGTCCTGGGTTTAGGTTGTTGGTGAGTCACTAAGCAGGACTTTGGTTTATGAAAGTAAGCTGGACTCTACACAGAAATGAGCTCTGTTAATTAGTCTTCCTCTCCTGCTTTTTTTGATCTCCCTTGCTGGTCCTCTCTCTAAGCCCCCATGACTGTTTCTCATTTTGCATGTTTTCTGTATTTTTTTACCTCTGTCTAAAATACCTCACTCTTCCCACTGAGCTGAGGGTATTTCTTCCCCTCTCTGCTCTCTTCACAATGGCAGTGGAAGCACTGAGATAAGAACAGGGATCCTCTTCCCATTCCTGTTGCAGAAGCTGCTGCATGTGCAAGGTTAGCTGAGTCCTGCTCCTTTCACCCTGGCCTGCACTGCACTTTCATTGTGCACGTGGAGCATCTGTTGCAGAGGTAGAAGCTGTTAGGACTTGGGGGGTTTTTGAGGGAGAGAAATTTGTATGTCCACTACCAAATGATATTGTTAATACCAAACGTACAAATACCATTTTGGGATGTATACTGCTTGGTTAAATTTTAAGAACAGACAAAAATCAAATGTCTGGAACTGCTGCTTTCATTCAGCATCACAAATAACTAATCATGGAATATCCTGTTGTCATGCACCAATTGGTCTGTGGCAATACAAATTGAGCCTTTTAACAAAAAACCCTACAGAAAACTTCTACTCTGAGGGCTTTCCATGGAAAATATCTGTCCAAAAATCTTCACTTCTGAAAGGTTTGGTTAGCTTGTAAGGTAAGAAGGTGAGTCTTTTTGACTGTAGAGGTTGTTACCTCCAAGATCACTAGTACCCAGGGATTTAGTTGGTTCGTATTGTTTGGGGGTTGCTTTTTTGCCCTTATTTCCACAATTTATTCCTCAGTTACCAAAGTGGGGGGAAAATGTGTAGGCTTTTGTCAAAACTGGTAGGTAGTAAACTCTTATTATTATTTGAACTTCTTTCCTTGATTGACTTTAAAAGAAAGTCCTTTCAACATCCATCTCTGTTGATGTCCATTTATGTATATATACATATATATCTAAATAGAGTTCTCTTTCTTATAATTTTAGCTTGACCTTCTAAGGAAGTGTTCATTAAGCTATCATACTCTTTCTCCTCTTGTCTAACTACCTGCCTGTCAGTACCCATGTGGTGAATTAGAGACCCCTTGCCAAACAAAACTAGATTGGACCCACTACTGAAAAAAATCAGAAATTAATTCCTCTAAGTTTCATGGAAACTGTTGGCAGAGGAATGGGACAGGTAAAGGATTCAAATACCTTCCATTACAGAAGATAACATTTAAGCTCAATGTTTTTTTTTTATCCTGACAGATGACAAGTCAGCACACACGTTCTGTCTCTTCCCCAGCCATGGATGGGAGGCAGCAAGATGTTGAGGAGAATGCTGCAGCGTACTTGGAGGTGGAGACGTGGAACTATTGCAATGAGAGGTGGAGGAACAGATTGTACACATCTGTAGGAAACCACATTTTAGCATTTCTGCTGTCCAAGGAACATCTGACATTTGTTTGAAGGGAAGTGAAGGTAATTATAAAAGGATGCAGGGAGGGCTAAAGGAAAAAGGTCTTAAATGTGTAGGAAACTGGGCTGCATTAGTTTTGCTGTTTATGGCATGACACACTAGCTTTCAGCCTTTGTTATTGCTATCCTGGAAACAATCCTGAGCAACGGCTTTTGTCTAGTCAACAAATTTTTGATTTGTGTTGTTCAGTTTCTTACTTAGGGAAGAACTTTGTAAATAATGGGAGAGGGATTTAATGCCCACAGTTTACTGCAAGACTTAGAAAAGAACATATAAAAAGCAGTTAGTAAGGGGGAGGTCCATCAAGCAATTACAGCCAAGGGACTAGAGTTATCAGTGGAACAAAAAGGGGATTGGGATCAGGGACTGACATCCCAAGAAAAGGAAGGATTTATACTGATTTTACCATTGACCAGCCTTTTATGTATCTATTAATCTTCAACTGAATAAAATTTACCATTGCCCCAGCTCCTGAAAGCTAAAACTTCTGGAAAACCAAAAGCATATAGTATAAACAGCTGTAAAAATGCTCATAGAAATAATATGGTTGAACCTAGCACAACTGGAAAGTATGCTGGTGCTCCTAGACAGTCTTTGAATTCTTTAAACTAAGGATTTTTGAAAGCACACAGTATCACGAAATGCTTAGATTTCTCTGCTTTAATTCTAAAATGTTAAAAAAATACTTCATACAAAAAAAAAAAGAAGGCTTTCAAAGATGCATCAATTATTTGTTTGAAATGTGTTTATTTAGCTCATAATAACCTCTCATCTCTTCAAAAATAGGTATTTAAGAGCTCAGATGTCATCTGTCTTCAAAGCCAGTCTGGCTTGACGTATAGTGTTGCTAGAAGCAATACATTTAGGATGACCTCTCCTCGAATGGGCCTGAAGAAAAGCTCTTCAATAGCATCTGCATCGATGTCTCGAAGAGAGGTGATTAGCTGAAGAATCGAAGCAAACCTGCCCAGGTTTCCATGGTACATTGTTGAGACAAACTCCATCAAGGCTTGCTGAGCTTCCTGCTGCAGTTTCTGTACATAGGGGAGACATTTTAGGACACAGCATCCTGTCAAAACAAAAAGTAAAATAGCAAATCTTGAGTAAACACTTCTGTTCTGAGCTCTTCGATGGATTTCTGGCTTATATCACTACTTTCTCTATAGAAAAACAAACTCTTTCTAAACATACTTTTTGGTAAAAGAAGATATGTGTTGTTTACTAATTTGAAGGAGCGTTGAGCAGCATTGTAAACACATAGTAATCTGGCCTATTACATTAAAATCCAGCTTTGAAATAGTAACAGCAGGTAACTGACTTAGTACAGATAGAGAAGAAGCTTTATTGTGTTGTCTACCCACCAAATGTTTCTGAGCCCATAGTCTGCGTAGGTGGAAAAATTCCAGTTCTAATCTATGCTAGGTAGGTAACATCAGGAAGATGGAGATGGTGGTCTGGAGCAGCGAGCAGGCTTGCAGCCTGAAGACATGGTTCTGATGTCTACTTAGCCCCATCTCCACCCTGTTATTGCCTCTGCTTACTAGACTAAGCTGGGGAACTATGGTTCACCATGTTATGTAGATACTTTCATTTACAGTCTAAAAAGAGCATAAAGATTCTCTGTGAGATGCATCATGACCCACAGGAATGGGTCCTGGTTCTGTGTTCCCTTTCCTCAGCCATTTCTGAAAGAGGAGAGGTCTCTGTCCTTGGTCTTGAGTCATGGTCTTGAGCCTCAATCACATACCTCCCATAGCATGTGACCTGCTGGCTCGAGGGCACTTGTGGGTGCCAGGGCTCAGTGCAAAGAACACCCTGTGTTTATCCTTTGCCTCTGGAGGGATTGCCTTGTCATGTAGCTCTCAGCAATCTCTTGCCACTTGTTTTCAACACCTAAGGATAACAACATCTTTTCTTTTCTAGAATAGCTGCAGCCTGGACAGAGGTAGCACACACTCTAGGCCTATTTAGCATCTTTTACAGTGACGACTCCATCCCTCCCTGCCATGGGATCTGAATAGCTTACAACAGGGAGCGTTTCACACAAGATCACTCATTTAAGTGTGGGAGGTTCTGCCTTCTTGCCTAGTGCCCTCTACTAGGGCAAAACCAGCCTGGTTGGGTTCTCTTCAGCCTGTAACTGGCTGCCCTTTGTCAGCCTTCAGCAGCTCTCTTCCTAAACATTACTGCCAGAGGAGAGGAAGTCTCAGCCAAACTTGAAACAAAGCTAGCCAGAAATGGGACTTTGGAAAAGTCATCATCTCCTCTGGGATTACCAGCAGCTGCAAGCTGTGAGGATGGTTCCAAGCGTTAGATTTTTTCATGGAAAGGAAATTGCCAAGATTTTGTATATTCAGGATAAAATTGCAATTGTTTATATCCCTTCAAATATGCCTGATTTCCCCATTTGGTCTTCTTTTCTGTGTAATCAAACGTTGAGTTTAATTTACATATAATGAGGCACTTCTTGTTCTGAGATCTATTGTAATAATACTCAGTCAAACACATGTTTCCAGCTGAACTATAAACCTCTTAAGAGCATCCTTTTTAACAGAAGTCCTGTCAAAGCCTTGATGGAGTTTTAAAATTTATATATGTGTAGAAAACACTCCATAAATATGTATATATATGGCACTGATTAATTAGCAGCATTTTTTTTTTTTTTTCACAATTACCATCCCTTCACTGTGCAGTTCCATTGCTTTTCAGACAACTCTCAAAAGTGCAAGAACATTTTCACCTCACTCTGAACTGTTCCTGTGTGGCAGAACAGTCCTACCTGCTCCTTCCTCTGACCTATTGCCTGTGTCCTAGTAGAGAAGGCCTGGCAGCTGGACCCTTCACCCACAGAAACTGTGACCTCTTGGAAGCCACCTAGCCAAAGCTCCCCTGGGAAAAGCAGAGATGCCAATATGTACTGGAGAGTCTGGATGCCATTGATGGAAGGTGCCTGTTTCCCCTCAGGGGCTGGGTGCATGCTTTCTTCTTTGCAGGTTCTTGCTGGCCCACCTGAGGTCAGTCAGTAACCCAGCCAGAGCCTCCTGCACAGAGGAGCTGCACAGAGTCTGCTTCTATTTCCAGCTCTGGGGCCCTCAACAAAGGAAGGATGTGGACCTGCTGGAGCAAGTCCAGAGGAAGGGCCCTGAAGATGATCAGAGGGCTAGTGCACCTCTCCTGTGAAGATAGGCTGAGAGAGTTGGGGTCATTCATCCTGGAGAAGAGAAGGCTTCGAGAAGACCTTATAGCTGCCTTCCAGATACCTAAAGGGCTTTACAAGAAAGCTGGAGAGGGACTTTTTACAAGGGCATGTAGTGATAGGACAAGGGGTAATGGCCTTGAACTGAAAGAAGGTAGGTAGGTTTAGATTAGATATTAGGTGGAAATTCTTTACTGTGAGAGTGGTGAGGCACTGGAACAGCTTGCCCAGGGGTGTTGTGAATGCCACAACCCTGGAAGTTGACCAGGAGGCCAAGCTGGGACTTTGAGCAACCTGATCTAGGGGAAGGTGGCCCTGCTTACGGCAGGGGTTGGCCTAGAGGATTACGGGGGGTTGGCCTAGATGATTTTTAATGTCTCTTCCGACCCAAACCATTCTATGATTCTTGTGGTAGGACCTACGTTCCATCATGCTGCCTGTCACTCTCTTGACAAAGGAATTTTTTTAATGATAGTAAGCACAATATCTGTGCCGCAAGAGATCACCCAGGGCACAAGCAAAGCTTTGTCGTACCTGTCATGCTTCTTATCCAAGTGATGGCTGCTACAGCTGCATGGCTGGAAGTCCTGTTGAACTCCTGCTAACAACCTAGCTCTGAACTTCTCTGTACCTGCCCCATCCCCATTGCATCAGTCAGTTTTGGTGGTCCTAACCAGGGTGGGAGCCCTCATGAGGTACCTCATGATCCAAGAAAGGGTTTACCATTGTCACTGCTGGTGGCTCCCTGAAATCCTCTTAGAACTGAGGCCTGCAAAATATTAACATTTTGCCAAACACCACACTAAAACTTGAAAAGTTTGAAAATATGCTGCATGTATGTAGAAAATATCTTCTGAGTTTGGTGAAAAGTATTAAAAAACTTCTCAAAATAGTAATTGTGAAACAACAGCTGTACAGATTTGTTTGCAGCAAAGCGCAGTTTGGGCAGTGTATAGGCCCTGAGTTCTTGTTTCAGCTCAGAGTTAGATTGTAACTGTTTCATCTGGAGTCAGGCTAGGCTTGCCAGAAGTTTGCTAGGCTGCCTTCTGCAGAGGACAGGTTCATCCCACCTATGAGCTAGGTGACATTCCTGAAACACTGGAATGTGTCTGCAGACAGCATCAAGGGCTGCTAGCCCTCTCATACAGCACCTTAGGGAAGCAGCAGGCCTTAGAAGGTACAAATCCAGAACATAACCCTGCTTCTTTCTCCTTAAGTGAAATCTCATTTTACCCACAGAGATAATAAAAATGCCTGCTAGTTAAACAGTGCAAGCAGCTTCAGATGAGGCATTTCTCTTCTTACCATCCCCCTGGATATAACTGGAGGTTTCGTTCAGCCTGATTTTACTGTGAAAAACCTGACAAAATAAGTTGCACCGAAACAAACTCCACTGCTTTGATGCTGCAGCATAGGCACAGAAGGCAATACCAAACATCTGGATGACATTACACCTCAAGAGTCAGAATCTGAATCCCATTGGAAACAAATATAAAATCATACAGCTTCTGAGCAGCCTATAAACCATTCACCACAAGAAATATAATGGAATAACTGAAGCATTCGTGTGTCCTTTTGGTGCAGTCTGAAGTACAGCACACTGCTGACAGTGCAGCCAACAGCAGTGGCTGCTGTGGAAGGAGCCGGGGATCTGAGCCAGAGCAGGCTGGAGTCAGTAAGTCTTTCCATTTACTTTAGTGTACTTAGAGCTCATTTTTTAATGACTCATGCACTCCATGGTGCTGACTGAGGAAACCGTCCTTCCTAAAGAGCCTGAACTTGGCATCTGAAGTGAGAGGATGCAATCACCAGTTTTAGTTTGCTCTGTGATTGCTGTTGCAGGCTTTGAATGTAGAGATACTAAATTATATAAATGAAGGATATAAATAAATAAAAGTTGTGTAACATCAACACAGCATCCTTTTGCCTCATTGATGAAAATCAGTTGATAAAGACTATTTTGTCTTCTCTAGAGTTCTTTTTACAGAGGAAGACTTTGTTAAAATACTTCCAGTGCTCACATTGTGTACCCATGTACCATCTCTCCTTTGCAGTACTACGGATGAGGCTGCTGTATTATCTTTGAACTGAAAATCAGTTTGAAGTGACACTATTTATTATTTATGACTTAAAATTTGTCTATCAGAAGCTGTTTTGGCTTACAGTGGGTGACCTACTGCATACAAGCAAGGAACTGAAATAAACTATTTCAGGCAGAAAAATCATTAAATTGAGGAATATGATTTTTTGAGAACATTTAGCTGTATTCATAGGCAAGAGTAAAACTAAACAATTGTCTATATACAAATGAAAATGCCAAATGCCTTTCTAAGCCCATAATCATCTATGTAGCTTCCAGGAGGACTCACCAGAATTAAAAAGAATAATTCCTTTAAGATAGGCATATTCTTTTGCACTTAAGTCCAGGTACCAACATTTCCACAAGAGATTCTTCATCTTCTGAACTTCTGCTAAAGATGCTCCTGCTGATGAGCTGCCCAGTTCATTGCTAGCTGTCAAAGACTGATTGAGGAGAATATTTTTCAATAAACTAGGGACTGAAATCTCTCTCAGATCAAAATCCACCCCTTCTTGTGCCATGCCCAGGACAAAAAGAGGGGCCCAGTTCTGCTGTATGAGGACAAGCTGATCATCCAAAGGCATGTGATAAAAAGAAGGCAAGTTTCTAATAAAAGTTGAAGTCTTCAGGATCACTCCAGAAGCTCTTCTGCACGTGGCTTCTGGTGTTTTCAGGACAACTCTTCTCCTGTCCCAACAAGAGCAGCCCTTGCTTTCTGTGGAGCAGTGGGGACTGTGATGCTGCTGGTGCCACTTGGTCTCACTTCCATGCTCTTTGTTAAGGATCTGATACAGGATGCTCTTAGTATGGTGTGTCTCACACTGACATTTCCCAGATTTCTTAACTGGGATCTTGGTAGCCATAGAGCCAGAGTTCCCTGTGGCAGGAAACACCACATATGGAGCTATGCATCAACGGCAGGAGAGAGCATTCCTGCCACACAGCGAGGCAGTGCATGTCTTTATACACACAGGCGGTTGAAAAGAAATATGACCCTGATCTGTGAAGTTACCTTGAACTTTATTTGCACCAGTCTGCTTCGAACGAGGCGGGGCTGACAGCTGCTGCCACCAGGCAGTGGCCTTTTGCCAAAGGCCAGCTCTATAACACGTACAACCTGCCCCTGAGGGAAAGCCTGAGAAAAACTATGACACCATAAGTGAAGAAGGAGCAAGTTGTCTATGTTTTCATTGGTACACTGACATTGTCCACTACCTAATGCTCCTGAGGGCACAGGAATGCATTTATACTTACAAATGATGCTGTGTCACCAGGCACTTCTTGAAGTGCCTACTTGAGTAGGCACTTCTATTTCTTGTTTAAAGGAGCCACCTGAAAATGCTGTGGATGTTTACCATTATTTTTCATAGAGCTCTTAACAGTGTTCATTCTTTACACTGTAACTAATAGGATACTGCCTCAGTATGACTGCTAAGGACACATCATCAGCTTTTTCTGAGAGAATGATTATTTGGAATTATGAGTCAATATGGAATTGTAGGTGAAACCTCTACTAGTGGTCCTGATTCAAAATTGCCTGAAATGAGCTTTCTGCATGACCCAATTTTCTCAAACATAGAGGACCAGTAGCTAAATTCAGTGCTATGCTCATAAATGAGGCAACAGTTAATTTTTCTTTCTAAATCTTACCAATAGAATGGTTGCAGCTACATGCACCTGGATATAAAGCATCTAAGTCTTCTTGCTACAGTAGGAATGCTTCATACTTTCATATGTTAAGAAAGTATATGATACAAAACCCAGTTTTGTGATATGAGAAATCCCCTATGGTTTTTTATCTACTTTAGCTGTCTCTAGCACTATGAGAACGGTAAGACACAGTCACATCAATGGTATTTTTTTCTGCTTTGCATTTATATACTTTTTTCAATCTACAAGGAACACACACCCACATTCACTGTCACCGCATTCTCTTTGCAACCATCAAAATTGCTCCTTGGGCACAAATGCCAGCATTTGGACAACAAAACAGTGTGTCCTAAGTACACACACAAAATTAGAAGAACTGAAAGAGGGTCAGTTTAGATTAGATATTAGGAAGAAACTCTTTACCGTGAGCATGGTGAGGCACTGGAATAGGTTGCCTGGAGGCATTGTGGATGCCCCATCCTTGGAAGTGTTCAAGGCCAGGTTGGATGGGGGCTTGAGCAACCTGTTATAGTGGAAGGTATCCCTGTCCATTGCAGGCTGGTTGGAACCAGATGATCTTTAAGGTCCCCTCCAACTCAAACCATTCTGCAATTCTATGGCTGCTGCATACAGCCCTTTGATATTCTCACCATTGCTGGGAATAAAAATAATAAATATGCTATTGGGTCTAAAAGTGTAAGACCTATTATTTTTGGCTCATAGTTCATAGCATTAATTCAACTAATAGAATACTTGGAAGGCTTAAGAGACTTGTCAGATAATATAGGAGCTTACATGGCCATCTTATCCTTGCCTTGGCAGTAGCCAAACATGAGTCCTTCAGGAAGAATGCATGATATATACCACTCTTCTCATGAGTATTTTTCTTGTCTTCAGTCATTTGTAGCCTGGGGGAAATCCTGAACCAGAATGATTTTATGCATTTAATAACTTTCAGTTAATTTCTAACCTCTGATCTTACACAGTCTGCTCCTGAAGCCACATGAACATCCACATCAGCTTATGTCAAGGAGCTCTATGGATGCCTGTGATGCGAGACAAACACTGATAAAACATGACATTTGCTGGATCTGGAACCTTTCTGCTTTTGTTCTGGGAAGAAAAAAAGGGAATCGATCCCTATTCACTCTCTCTACAGCTTGCTTTATTTTACAAATCTCAGTAAGACTCACACAGTCATCCTTTGTCCAAACTAAAGAGATGTAACTTCTTTCTTTAGAGTGGCTTTGGGCTTTGATCATCTTGTTACCCTGCTTTGAATCTTTCTTGGTCCTATCACTTTTCTAAAATATTCTTTAAGGAGAAGTGTGGAAAGAATGAGAGCAGGACACAATATCCAGGACTTAGGAAAACATGGATTTATACAGGGACAGGATGAGGTTTTGTGTTTTGCCTTTCCAAGATGTCACTCCTGAGCTGCTGTTGTCATGAAACTGTCACAGCCCCCAGGTTTTACTCCTGAACAATGTTCATCAGTTCAGAGGCTCTTATGTTAGTCAGTAGTGGAGTTAGGAGTGTTTTATCATATGTGCATTTTTTTCCATATAAATATATTTATAAATACATATGTAGACACATAATTGTCATTTGACACCTAATTGATGATTTTCATGAAGCCTTTCTACAATTCTTCTGACAGCCCTAATCTACCTCAGTAATTTTTTGCCATCAGCAGACATTCATATTCTGGAACTTTGAAGGCACTGCTCTTTAGAATAGTTCCTTGCAGTAGAGTGTCTATATATGTACAAGATGGCTTATATGTATATGTGTGTATATATGTGTGTGTGTATAAATATCTGTTGGATTATAGGTATATACACAATGTATATAGTAAATATGTTATTACTAAGCAGTGATGTGAGTTCTCCTACTTTCCTAAAAGGTGAGACTGGAGGCAAGATGCATTTCTGGAGAAAAAGAATCTTCCAGTATTATTTCATATGGGCTACAAGAAGGAAACACCTTCCTGGGAAGCTGACAGCAGCTTTTTTGACGTCACACCAGGTTGATATATGTACATATTCTGTGATTCAGTGACCTCTTATCTTTCTGGTCTCATGTAAAAACATTTATATGGCCTGTAAACATCCATATGACTTCAGAACAGGATTCTCTAGAAGTTTTACACAACTTATTTTCTAGGAGGAGCTGGGTGGATTTCGTGTCACTGGTACTTTTGAGGACAGCTGATCACTCTAACAGCCTTAATGATGACTAGAGGAGACAGTAATAAAACCATTATCACACCATCTCTCTTGAGCAATAAAGATATTAATTTCTCAGCTAGAGGAACTAAGAGCTACCATTCAGACTGCCTGTTTCAGCTAGGCAGAGACTGGGAAATATCAGGCCCAAGTTGAAGCCTGCTCAGCTTTGAAACAAGCTCTGAAGAAGTGTCTTTAGCTTCTGGTAATGCCATGGCAAAGTGAGATATCTGAAGCAAATCTACATATATCATGAATCTAATTAATTTAAACACGTTCAGGCTATTCTGAAGGTCAATAGGTGAACTTCTCAAGTGATAGAAGGTAAGCATGTGTTTAAAATATTTCGTTGATTAAGGTCTGATAAAATCAGCATCTTTTTGATGATAGCTGTTTGAATAGAAGTAGCAAATTATTAGAGAAGCAGCTGCCCCAAGAGGCCCTGCAGTGAAATGTTTCTATCACTGAAACTAGGCCTGTTTTAAATTTGCCTCTGATTACTGAGTTACAGTGAAGGCAAATGCCTCTGAACCTGTGCCCCACATCTTGCCATGAAATAGGAGCTCTGAAAAGCCCCTTCCTAGAAAGCTACCCTGGGCATCTATGTTTAACTCATGTTCTGTTGTTCTTTGTTTTCCGAATTACTGGAGTAGCATTTAAAGTGACTTTTTGACAGGTGCTGCTCACTGACTGAAGAAGGGGGACTGTTTGTCTTCATTTTAAACCAAGGATATTTTGTTAGAGATTTTAAACTGCCTGACCATACCTCAGCTGTTGCAAATGTGAATGCAAACATGTGCCATCTGGAGCTATAACCAAATCCAAGAATAAGTACATAACAAGAATATAAGTAAATAACAGCTCGGCAATGCTCCTCGGTCAGAAGACAGGATGACAGAGGAACATATTTCTTAACTCTTCAGCTTCTTATAAATCTAAAGCAGCAATAGATTTCCGTGGATGAATGTGCATAAATAAACCCAAAAGAGTTCTTTATGCTGTTTAAGCAAACAAACAAAACAAACACCAAGCAAGAAAAAACCCAAACAAATATCTGGATAAATAAACTCTTTCTCTGATTTTTTTACAGCTCCAACCTGCCTCTCAGTAACATGGAGTCAGAGCCTTCTTCCTCTGTAAACCCAAGCATCCATCTCTCGCTACTGGCCCATTTCTCCCTTGGTTAAAGGTAAGGGATTGGTTAAAGTAGTGTGTGGAAAGGGGTATGAATCTGGAGACATGAGTAGGTTTTAAGCTGCCCAACACTGATTTTTTGCTTTCTTCATACTAGAAAAACTGATGGGTTTTTATAAGAGTAAATTGGCAAATTTTTATAAGGGCACACCTTGGAGGGTGGGATGTAGAGATTATAAAACAAACCAGAAGTGACTTCATACCAGATTGTGCCATTTTTCTGCAGCTCCCCCATCAAGGAGATGGTGTTTGTACAGTCACCCTTATCAGCACTGGGACAGGCACCATCTGTCATTTTAAATGTAGATAGATACACCACTTATTATTGCTCAGCAAGTGGAAAGTGCTGCAAAACAAGGTCCAATACGACCACAGTTTTTAAAAGCAAAGTTAGAAAATGCTCCTGGCTAGTAATGTCATCTCCAGAGTGTCACTGAAAAGGCAACTCCTCCCTTCAGCCCCCTCCCCTGCTGAGAAGAGTGATTGAGACGATAAAACTTTTAACACAGTATAGAGCCCACTGTAATGTTAAAGCTAAATCTGCCTTATATCATTGAAGATAAATGCCTAATCTAGTGATTAGCATTCTATAAATACCACAGATTAGCGAGTGAAGGTTAGATGGCAGATTAGATATGTGGTGTATACCTTCAGACTTACCTTTACACATTTTACTTATGATAAATGAGCAAGGTCTTAACAAGTAATCTGTAGTGCAAAAAACTAAATACCAAAACTAAATACCAACACAAGATATGAAACATTTTACTTTGAAATATATAAAGGGCAAA